CACTGACCCAGGGCGCAAGGCAGGCCAGGCGGCTGGCTCACAAGAACCAACCCAAAGGCAGGGCTCTGCCACTCCCTCATAACACTCTCTGAAACTTTCAAAGTAAGATAGATGAAAGGGTGTTGGGTTCAACCTTTTCAGAACTTGACTCATTAAATACCACTTGCTCAATTTCAAAGCTAATTGAGGAGTGGATGGTACATCCACAATGTGTTCATTTGAGTATGATAAGGTGGTTGTGTAATGATGAAAGCCACTTTACAATCAGTAATGGGCAAAGACCGGTGGCATTGGCATTTTTTCAGACACTGCTATCTACATAGGCAGGAATGACAACGCATAAGGCCAATGTGAGCCCTTGATGCGGCGCCCACCGCCCAGTAGTGCTAGTAGTATGTAAATAACAAAAGGAGATAAAAGGTGCCATTGAAAACAGCTTGACTACAAAAGCTCATCAATGGAGACGTCAAATAAAAAGGGAACAGCCCCTGATACCCGGAGGCAGACCTGATCAACGGAGGAGAGGAGAGGTCCAAACTCATGTGAGTGGTCCATCTTTTTAGTATTTAGGTAGATAATCACTTATGATCATCAACTGATGCAGATCAGTTTTTGATGACAAAACTAGATTGAAGTTTCATAGCACTGCCAGCATAGATGCCTCGGGTTGAGAAATCCGAGGCATCATCAGAGGCAAATCCTCGGACAGACCTTGTCCGAGGTTTTCGCCCGAGGTATTTTTTTGCCCTGGAAATAACCTCGGATCAAAACCTCGGGAAGCTTCTGTCCGAGGTTTTGCATCCGAGGATACCTTGGATTACAAAATCCGAGGTAAATATGTTGGCGGTGTAGGATGGTCACTGATAGTTGAAATTTAGTATTGACAGGATAGCTACAAAGTAAGGATTCATTAAATGGTTGTGATGAAAATCACCAGCTTCATCATTTGAGCAATTAATTTGATTTAGAATACTTTGAATTTCTGATCTTCGTCACCAAAAGGCTCACAAGACTAATCAAGATTAAAAAAATTATCATATCTCCTCTCTTGTACTTCAACAATGATGTTTCACTTTCTGCGCGCAAAGTTTCTGCCCTGCGCGCAGGCTTTGAACCTTTGTGAGATTTGTTACGAAACCACCGCACTGGTGGTTCCGGAGTCAGATCTCGGCGTGGTACACGTTTGTAATCCTTTTTATCTTTCTGCAGCAATTATGCAGTCATCTACAAGCGGTTTCATTTCCAGAAAACTTCATTAAGGCTTTCGATTGCTCATAAAGCACATATATATAGCTCGGTATGTTGAAATCAAGCACACAGTCCGTTTGTGCAACTTCACCCAAGCTGTGAGCGCTACACTGACTCGTTTGACTCAAAGCAGGATAAGAACATTTGATTGAACGGTATGACAAGGCTGGATTGTGACAACAGAGTTCTTGCCTGCATCAGTTCAAGCCTGGTTGGGTTTCTCTTTTTTGCTGACATTTTGAAATGAAATCAAGGTTTTGATCTTGGATATGTGTCAGTGCAATCATCTATGACAATGTCATTTGAGCTCTTGACTGAGCGAGAAAAATGAAATATTTTTTTCAAAAAAAGACTTGGTTTTTTTTTCTGTGATGAGACCAAAATGTAAAAGCAAAAAAGTACACACGGACTCGAACCCACTATCAATGATTCAATGCACTGAGACATGCGCCGCCTCAAACTACTACACTACGAAAACGATGAGTATTGTTGGGAATATGCATTATTGATATTGCTGAACAAGAGCTGGGCTTGGCTGTACGGTCAATCTGGTCATACCAAGCTCTACACCACGGAGTGGTTCTTGAGCAGAAATATCGTCGGTGAGGTCTGCAAGTGGTCGGGGTCCTGAAATCGTCGGATAATTGCCTGAAAGTGGCCTGTAAATGGCCTGAAATTGGTCTGTGAGAACCGGCTACATACCAGCTGCAGTCCAATCGAGTACCGTTGGTAGGCAGACTGCAGCTGGTGTACATGGTTAAGTCTGCAAAAGGGCGGGCAAGCGCCTGTCAGACGTCTGCCAGGCCGCTGAAAGGGCAGGAGCTCTGAAGTGCGGCCGGTTCTGGCAGATTGGCTGCCGCTCGACTTCATTTTGCCTCAACTCATCGGTTTGGGATGGCCCCGACAGCCACAGTTAACAAACTCGGTAAAATACCCTGGGCAAGTTAGTTCACCCAACCATCTCATCAATCAACTCCAACAAGTCCAACATCATGAACAACTATCACGACCTGGGATAATCTTCCTCGATCAACAAAAGAATGGTTGATAACCAGGTTCAATTCAATCAATCAAATCACCACTTTCAATTGCTAACCTTCATCAATTTATGCTCAATTTCATTCAACCTAATTAATCCATCAACTCATCAAACTCTTTAGCCTTAACTTCACTTTCTTCAGCTTTAAATCATGAACTTATTCAACATTAAGTACTCTAAATGGATTTGGAATTCAGATCATGATCTCGTCATTTAACATTGATACCTTTTGATTCAAATTCATTACCTTCACCAACTCTTTCTGCCATCTTAGCCAAACTTGATTCTTGGTATTCGAGCTTCTGTTATCTCAATCAACTCCATTATCATCGATCTACTTGGTCAGCTTCTTTCAAAATGCTCTCACTGGTTTACCACAAATTTTTCTGATCTCAAATCATATTCTAATCTCGATTGGACAACTTTTGATTGGTACTTTAGGATCTTTGGTCATTTACGGACAGCAGCCTCGATAACATCTTTTAGCCGACTTGAATTGTTATGACCCACAGCCGACCAATGTCCTTTTTATGGTTCAATGAGCTCGTCCTCCTGGTATAATTACTGATTTCAAACCTCAACCTTTGATTGACCTTCTCAAACCTAACATTTTACCTCACTTACCTTCCCTTAAGTGTTGCTCTAGAATTGCTTGCTCTATCTCTCAAATCTGGTTAGTACTTTCCATTTTCAGTCATTTTTGTCAAGTTAACTCAAATCAATCACAATCTAGTCGCATGGTACCTCTCAAACTACGAAAAACACAATTTTTCAAATCGATTTGTATGTAAAGTTTCCAAGACTCAACCAGTGTTCTTGAATTCAAAAGAACCACTGGCTTGATGTCCTGCACAATGTCCACTTGACATGGTTCTCATCAAGATTCCAAGTGTTCCTGGGTCTCTCTACATTCAGAGAAGATGGTGGTGCATGTAATCCAAGACGAGAACAATATGAAGATCAAATCCATTCTTATTCTTCAGAGTGATGTTATGATTGACTTGGAGTGTTAGCAATTACATCTGTAAGTGTTTGATGAACATTCAAAATAATGATCCACTGTTTTCTTGCTCACTCAATTAATTCCATCAGTTTCTCAGTATCAATACCGATGAAAGATCTCAACCTACATATCAATTGGTCTGCATTCACATTCACACTCTTGTTAAACTCTTCAAACACGTCTCTAATCTTCACCTGAGGAGCTCTCCACAAAACTTTCTACACAATGAACAGTCTTTGAAATCATCTACTTTCACACCCACACCCGATCATTCCTATGTTCAACCAAAGAACCATGTTTATTCAGTTTAAAAGTAAAAGATTTGGATCTTCATATAATGTAGCTATTATACTTAATATTGTCACACACATCTGATCAAAATTATGATACTGTCAATAAAATGATTTTATTTTGCTTGTTCCAATTGACCGTCTGCTAGCCGCATTTCAAGGCTGGCAGTCATCTCACTGGCTTCTTGTTGAGCCTTTGCACTATCTGTGAGTGGTCTCGAGCAGGTCCCAAACCGGTGCAGACCGGCAGTCAACCCTCTACATCCTGTCTTCAGTCGGCCTGCAGGCTGGCTACAGGCGATATTCGAAAGGCCGTCTGCATACGGTGGGACCAGCGCCTACCTGCAGACGGTCCGTGACTATATAAAAAAAGGCCCGTCTGCAGACGGCCTCCGTCCCCGTCTGCAGATGGGCCGGACCACTCCGTGGTGTTGCTCTCTGTGAGCTGCGCAGCGGCTTCGCAGCAGGCTGCGGCGAAATTTGGCCTCTCTTGTCTTCTCTTGTGCGGTCGACCCGGTCAACCGTTTTAGCAAAGGTAGTACTCGGAGCTCGACCTGTAAATTTACAAGTTTCTCCGCTTGTCGCGCCTCTCGCAGTCTTTTTGCAACAGAAGACATTGGAGTTTCGTGTTAAATTTAACTCATACCGATCATAAAGTCCATGATCCTTTCAGCTCTCTAATGTGCCTACAAGAGAATAATCACTCATTTTTTGAACAATCATTATGCATTCATTGTCCATTCGTCTTTGCCTCTTTCTCGTTTTATCTTGTCATTCTTTTATAAGATGCAGGCCTTTCTTCAAACAGATGAAGCCAGGTTAGCCTTCACTAAGTTCTTCAACCAAGCAGAGGTCAATTCTTTTCATGATGATCCAAATTGATCTGACGTCTTTCTGTTTAGATCAGAGTTTGACTGAGGCGTACGTTCACTCCTATACAGGGGTGAGCAATGATTATTTCGAACAAAGCCCTTCACGAGAAAAAATCATGCTTCACGACCTTAGAAATCAGCATGAAATCGATCCTCAACTGAAAACAAACGGATTCACTGTTGAGACGCGGAATATACCATGGCTTCGTCAGTTTGAACCATTCTCGGACGACTACACAAAATCTTTGCAAGCTGATTCTGTTGCACTCGTCAAGGAACTGTAAGAAAATTTGCTTTGAAAATTCGTCTTGAATACATAATTAGGATGAGGACTTACCAGCTTTGGCCATCTACTCAGGACAGGATCAAGTAGCGCATTCTGTTATTCAACGACTATCAGAGGTCGCCCTGGTGAAGTATCTATTCCACCTACACCAATCATACACTCGGATTTATCACCAAAAGGGGCAGAATACTTGACAAGCCAAATCAAGAGATTAACACGAAATTCGTTTTATACTGATGATCTCGACATTTGGGAAGCAATCATGGATCAAAAGCGTGTTGTTGTCTTCAATGTTTGGAGACCGGTTAAAGTTGTCGAAGATAATCCTCTTGCTTTTTGTGATTGGCGATCGCTAAAGAAAACAGACATCCCGGATTTAGAAATTGAGCCTACAGACCTGAACAATTCAGTCCAACCATGGAAGTATGGGACTCATCAAAGATGGTATTATATGAGTAATCAGACACCAGAAGATGTATTTGTTTTTGTACAACATGACAGTAAGGGACAAGGAGAGCATGGAATGAATGTGCCACATGCTTCGGTGGTTCTAAAAGGCCAAGAAAACAAACCATCAACTCGGCAGAGTTATGAATTCAGGATTGCAGTGATTATGGATGATGGATTTGTGTTAGAAGATGTACTCCCAAACTAGAATCTAGGAGACCTCAACAGGGCTTCCAAAATCAAAGTTTTGACTGCCTTCTGATCAATCTTTTTGGACCCTCTATGTATGTACGAAGTAGTAAAGCTTACACCCACTGTTTATATGTTCTTGATTTCTGTTTGCCTTCTCCTATTCGCCACTACGCCTCTTGTCTCTGCATATGGTCATAGTGTCACCGTCCAGGCTTTGATTGACGCTTGGAATTTGTAGCAGCTTCACTTCGATCAAAGCGGCTCTTTGTCATAACTCTAGCTTCACGTGAGATATACGTTCCTTATCAACGTGATGACTATTTAGGTGTACTATTTCACGTTTAGGTGCAATCAAACATTTCACCTCCTATTGGCATTGGCATTGGTTTTATTTAAATTTTAGTGAAGATAGAAACAGTTGCACCCAAACAAAGGCCGATGAAGCACCTTTGGAAGAGATATGTAAGCTAAGGAAGTTCGGGGTGGAGGGCTTCATGATTAGAAACCCACCTCGAAGAGTACAGAAGGGACAAAAAATCAAATCAATCAACACATTATAACCAAGCCTAACATCATTTGTAAAGATATTGAGCTTTCCTTAATTGCATATACATATATAGTATTAGAACTTGTAAACCCTTTAAAAACTTATTACTATATCCTCATCTGAAGGTAAACCACAAGAAAAACCCATTTCTATAATCCTTAAATCCTTAAAATCTAATCTCCAAAAAAACCAATGATAAAACTTTGATACCTGAGTGAAAAACACTAATGATACAAATCAACAAACAACCTTCAATAAGTTGGAAACCTCCACAATTACCTCTCAAATATAAACTACAAAACAAAAAGCATTTCAAATAGTAAATCAATCTACATCTCTTTATAATTCATAATCATCATTATATAATCCATCATCACCATCCAGTTCTTTCCAACCTTCTGGATCCTCTTCCCAATCATCATCCTCATCCTCATCCTCCATCTCATCCTCACTCAACCCATACTCCTCAGTACCTAAATCCACTGAACTTTCCCTTTGATGCTTTGAATTAGTTGATCCTCCAACACTCTGAAGCTTAGTCTTAAGTGAGGTTTTAATAGGTTTTGTAATTTTCGTCTTCACTGGATCAGTTTTGATTTCTTTAATCGGTTTCGAATTAGATCCCTCTAAAACCCTTCTGACCTTCTCTTCACGTACTTTTTCTCTCTTCAGAATCTTTCGATCATTACCTGAAACTGCATCAAGATTAAGTAAATTCAAAAGTTCTTCCGAAACAATAATATCTCCTTCTTCTTCTTCTTTCATCAAACCATCATCATTGATCTCTTCCAAATTTTCTTCTTCTTCACTACTTACTGCTTCATCATTTAATGGTCCTAAACTTTCGGAAATATTCGGTTCGGGTTCTTGAAAAATATTCGTCATTCTTAGTTTTTTCATTTGGATTTCATTAACTGGTTTGTAGGGTCTAACCATTACTTTTTGAGTCCCGGTAACTTTGATTTGTTTAGTTTCTTCTTCAATTAGCAAAGGAGGTGTAGTAGCTTTTCCTTTTCCTTTCCAATCTGGTTTTGATTTATTTACTTTTAGCTTTGAATTAATTTGTTGAGGAATCGTTGGAACTGGTTTTGAATTAGGATCTGTAGGTGCAAACGTAAAGGTTTCAAGCTCGGTGATCACGCTGGTTTGACTTTGAGCTCCGAATGGTAAATCTGGCATTTTTGCTAAACCTTCTTCTTCTGAATCAGATCCATCACAATCTCTTGAATCTTTAGTTTTATTAACCGGTAAACGAGTAGACACGTTGAGTTGTGATTGATTTGTTTTGCGTTTGATTACATTAGAATTAGTCCGATCTACTTTAGTTCGTTTGGTAGTGTTTCTAATCACTTTTTTGATCGTTGAAAGTCCATCTAGATCAGGATCATTGATATCTTCATAAAAACTTGCATCTTCTTCACCCGGTTTCATTCGTTTCCTCTTGGCTCCTACTGGTATTCGGTTCTTATCTGCTTGTTGTCGTTGTTTTTGTAAATCTAGTTGTCCACAACCTGGAAACTCTGATAAAGTTCCGATTGAATTCTGTGAATTGTTTGGAATAAATGGAATTGATGATTTGATATTGAGTTTGTTGATCGGATTTGGTTTAATGGGACTTTGAGTACTTTGAGTTGATGCTTCTTGATCATCAAATAAACATCGGAATGGAAGTTGTCCAGATGGTTTAGGTTTAAAAGGAGAAGGACCCAAAATATCATCAGAATTTTCATCTTGATCTTCAATTTCAACCTTTTCTTGAACTTGATTAACTTTAGATTGACTTTCATCTGTTCTAGATTTCAAAAAAGTCGATAAACCTCCTCCTCCTCCATTGATGGTAGTCGTCGATTCAGATCTATTTAAGTTAGGTTTAGGTTTTAGGGGACTCCCGACTCCTATTAAATATTTTCTAGCTTTCGTACGTGGTGTATCTTTGGCTTGTAATAATAAATCGGCAAATAAATCAGGACTTCCTTTTCCTCCACCTGAATTAGATTCAAATGGATTACTCTTGGGTGTAGAAGTGGTATTACTTTGATTGTTCTTTAAACCTTTTGTATTTGTCATCTTCCCATTAGATTTTTTTCTAGGAGAATTCGAAAGTAAAAGTTGTCGAAGTTTGATAGGTGAATTTGGATTTTGATATAAAGAATTATTGATTTGATGAGATTTTTTTGTGTTTGATTTGTCTTCTAATCTTTGTTTTTGTGGTGTTGTTTGCATACATGATGTTGATTCTGAGTTAGAGATATGTGTAGAAGAAGTTGAAGGTTTTGATGAATGGGACGTTTTTCGATCATTTGATTTTGTTGTATTATAAGTTGAATATAATTTAGCTACATCAAAGTAAATGAATCATATCTTAGTTTGATTGGTTCAGAATGCAAGTGAGTCAAGAGAATGAGTAGTTTACCGATTTCTGGATTTGATTTGATATCTGATTTGGTTGGATCTCTTCCATTGGATTTTTTGAATTCTCTTTCCCATGTTTTTAATTTTGATTTAATCACCGTTAGTTCCTGATTTGTACTCATTGTTTGATGGATTGCTCTATTAGTGTTGATAATAATGATAATGATAGTTTGATGAATGATAGACTGATGGAAGTAAGCATTGAGATGGTAAAATGGTAATCAAGGACAATCGTAACTTAAAATTTGGATAAACTACCTCATAATTTAATGTCTAATTCGAAAGGTACTTTTGATAACTATATTTGAAATCAATACAGTTTAGGAAACTACATTGTATGTTGTCTTTCGATCATTCTCAGCATCGGTTCGTAGCACTAGCAACTGTCATTGCAACCTGAGAAGGGAAACTAAGAAAGTCTTGAGATGATCTTCAAACTTATCCATCATCAAATATCAATCTCCTCAAAAGAAACTTGATCTAATCAACCCAATTCAAATCACACTTCAAAATCAACATCAACATTAAAAACAAAAGCACAGGAGTAATCTTGCTTCTCTCCTAAAGTCCCTCAGTCCACTTTCACCTAACAGGAGTCAAGTTCACTTTAACGATTAGGAAGAGTACATAACTTAATACAAAGCTCTGTCGAAAAGATGAAGTTTCAATTCAATATGCAATCGATTCTTTCAATCTTACCTAAAATGATACCTGCTTCTTTTTATCCTACTCTAAGAACTTTGGTCATTCAAACCTTGAAACAAGGTAGGCGACCTCTCAATTTCTTGAAACCTCATACGCTCAAATGAAATTGAAACTGTTCTTGCATTCTTGATTTGTTCTTTTGGTATAGGTCCTACACCTCGTCATGTTGGTTTTATTATGGATGGTAATCGTAGGTTTAGTCGTACGAATGGAGTTCCAGTTGAAGAAGGTCATATGGCTGGATTTGAAGCTTTAAAAAGAGTAATTTTTCAATCCCTCTTTTTCTAAAGAAAATCGTATTAAAGAAGATTGGAATTAATGATGTAATTTCGTTTGCTTGTTCGGTTTTTTTTAGGTTTTGGAATTATTATTGAGATTAGAAGTACCCAATGTAACAGTTTATGCATTTGCTATAGATAATTTTAATAGACCTGCACATGAAGTTAGCAAATTAATGGACATGGCTAGAACCAAATTAATCGAAATTTGTGAAAGAGGGTAAGTTTTGCATGCATACAAACAAAAATTGATCGATTTTTTTGGGGGCAATTTTGAACATTTCGATTCAATGATTTATGAGACTCTTGTTTTTTGTTTTGTTTTTTTTGTAGTCAATTATTGGATCGATATGGGATTAGAGTAGTGGTGATTGGTAGAAAAGATCTTCTACCAGCTGATATTCAAAATTCAGTAGCCAAAGTAGAATCAATGACAGCTCATAACACACGGTAAGTTTTTGAAAAAAGCTTTAACTGATTTCGAACCCCCAAAAATCGATTCATTTCTTTTTGACTGATATTGATATGGATTTTCGAATTGGGTTTCTGTGATCTTAGTGGTTGTTTGAATGTTGCATTTCCTTATTCTTCACAAGAAGAAATGGCTACTGCCCTTTGTAGAACAGTACAAGATTCAATTTCACAAAACCAACCTACTTCGTAAGTTCAAATCCAAATCCCATGATCCAAACCCTTGCAAATCTTTCATTCTAACCATTCTTTTACCAAAAAAAAAACGAATACCAGAATGATTGATATTGAAACAATAGGTAAACACATATACACATCCCATTCACCACCATTAGATATCTTAGTACGAACTTCAGGTGTCCGAAGATTATCGGATTTCTTACTTTGGCAAACTACATTAGACACAATGAAAACTTCTTCAAAGATTGAAGCCTTAGGTCCTTCAGTTCATTTTGTGGACAGATATTGGCCTGATTTTGGAATTTTAGATGTTTTACCCATCATCTTGGGTTGGCAAGCTGAAGAGTTGTTCAAAAGAGGTTTTCAACTTCTGTTTTAAATTTATTTGATGATTTTTTGAAAGGGATGGGATTTGCTTAATAGCTAGATCTTCAGAAGAATCTTTTTATAAACAGAAAGTGGTTTGGATGGATTGTAAAGGGGTTTTGTGTTGAAAGATTGTATTGAATTGTTTCTTACTTTGTTTGAAAAAGTTGAAGTTAAATTAATTATTGAATGTATAGAAATCATCCTTCTCATTGGCAATGCTCAATATCTGTTCATAAAGCAAACCAAGAACTAGTAAAAGAACTGACTTGTGGCATGCAGTTATCAGACTGGTTTGAAACTTTCATTTGATGCTCAAAGCATTCTGGAGTTAGGCTGATATTATGGACCTTTGCCCGCCAAACTCAAGCAAATTGGCGCAGAGTTGGTGACAAGCTTTCCTGAATTGGTAGACCATAGGATCTGGGTTTGGCCTGAAACACCCTGATAATTATCCTGATAAACCCCAAGACTGCATATACTTTATGGGTCTTCATGTATGTAATTTCAGCCCCACATTTATCAGGCCTTTAAACACCTACCAATCAAATGATAGGACAAGGTATTTTCACCTCTTTTATCCTAATCCCAAAGGTGTCATCAAGACTCACAGCACAAACCATCAGATGTTGCCGGGTTCTGCCCATTTCAGAGTTGTTAAAGGTTTGTACAACTGATTTGAAAGATTAAATAGTTAAAGTCCGGGTCAAGTCTTTGTGGAAGCTCAAAAGTCATATTTGTAGATCACTATCCTTCATAGGGGCATACATACCCAGGTCCTGTTATAGAATTACTGTCACTCAGAAAAAGAAATCTCTCCACCTCCCATTTCAACACATCCACATTTTCTTACACCACCTATCAACAATGGACATATGTAATGACTCCCGGTATATGAAGTTCCGAGTTGATACACAAAACATTCATCATAGCTTCTTTCTGGAATGAATCAAATTCAAAAAAAGTTGTTAAACAAATCTTTGTTTATCTCAAAAATCTTTGGGTGTTATAAGGACCACACTCCCCTTCTGTTACTGTTACACACAGCACTGCCAGCATAGATGCCTCGGGTTGAGAAATCCAAGGCATCATCGGAGGCAAATCCTCGGACAGACCTTGTCCAAGGTTTTTGCCCTGAGAATTACCTCGGATCAAAACCTCGGGAAGCTTCTGTCCGAGGTTTTGCATCCGAGAATACCTCGGATTTTGTAATCCGAGGTAAATATGTTGGCGGTGCAGCTTCATGAATGTATCCCAAGTAGCCATGGCAATGTATGTAGTCAATTTTTCAAAATGCTTGTCTCATTCTGAACAAAGTTACAGGAAGTATCAAATGTGATTTGTCTTGAGCTCTGGAGCAGTCAGAGAAAGAGAAAAAGGAAAGGTATGTAAATTTCATGGACAAAAACAGAGAAAACAAAAGGAAAGAGAAAGGTCCTACCTGGAGCAGTCAGAGAAAGAGACAAAGGAAAGTTGAAGAAGAAGCACCTTTCCTGGACTGCTCCAGTAGGAATATATAGAGAAACTTTTACATAACAGTTTTCACATGATGTCACATGTTTGTTGAGCACACATCTAGAATCTATGTATCTCGGGTTAGTCTTGCAGGACTTTTACATACTTGATTTGAAAGTCACATAGGACTATCCCAACAATTTGCTTATCCAGATGAGCAGATACCTGAGTGGAACTATATGTGGCTAATAGCTAAGGATTCACTCAGATGTTTGCACATATGTAGCATATGTTTTATGACTAAGTTGTGTGATGCAAGATGATTTGATGACCCCTTCCACTCTCAATGAGATTCCCAGCCTAGGCCAGGGAACCTCTTTAATGCTGGCAGTGAGGAGGACATCATATGAATTGAGAGGAAAAGGTTACCACAACAAACTGGGAGGGATAACTTTCACTGATCTTGGTTCCAACTAAGTCCTGCTCATTTTTTTCCTTTGAGAATGGGCTTTGATCTACACCTTTGCTCACTTTCATGATTTTGTTGTTGTTTCTTTGCACAAATATTGGCTTGTGGAATTCTATGAGGCTAGTGTTCTTATAACTTTGAAAAAAATTATTGTCAGTGCATCTAAGTGCACTCTTCAGATATTGCATTCAATTTAAAAATTTCCCCAAGAACCATATGATATTCAATGTTGTAGCTCTTAGGAAAACAACATTCAATTCTCATGAAAATGTCTACTTTGGTCTCTTTTGAATACACATCCTCTTTTGCAAATTCTCTACGGGGAAGAGGTAGAAACAAAAACATGTCTTGAGATGTATATCTTTTGAATGAATATCAACTGAAATCTTCTCAAAGTTGAGCTCTACTAGTACAACCATCTAGCTTTGTTTAATGTCAATTTGAAGACACCTCTTCACCTTCACAAGAGACTCTGATTCACTCATTCAACTGTACTTGAGCTTGACCTGATTTTGATTTACTGATGTTGATTTCTTGAATAGACTTGCTAGGAAAGATTGATGTTAAGTCCTGAATGCCAATTGTTGTGGAAAACACCAGGTCAATCCAAGTCTTTTTTGTGATTCAACTTATTGAAACACCATCTTTGTGTGTTATAATCATGGTTGCTACCATTTGAGCACTGATCAAACATATCAGATCAAGATTGCGGAGCGGTGAGAGGTGAACAAGCTTAATCATGGACATACACCAATCAATCATGAGTCTTCTCTTGCAGCATAATATATCAGCAGAGCAAAGCTAGTGGCCTTGCTGGGCTCCAGAAGGCTTACAGGATTGATAAATTGGCAGTTGCAGTTGTGAGGGTTATGCATACCATGAGAGAGCCATGGATCAGTGGCAGTTGAAAATCTGTTGGGATTAGGAAGGGATTTGACCTAAATGTGCAAGAAGTCTGGAGGAGTGTTTGGGGGTCATTACATATGTCCATTGTTGATAGGTGGTGTAAGAGAATGTGGGTTTGTAGGAAAAAATCTGGATGTTTTGAAATGGGAGGAAGAGAGATTTCTTTTTCCAAGTGACAGTACTTCTGTAAGGGATGAGTATGGGTTATGAGTAGGATTACACATGTGGTATTTGGTTACAGGAGTGTTGTATAGTTGTTCTTATATAGAGACCCATCCTCTCTCCCTTTTGGGGTTTTCTCTCAAGGAACTCCTTTTCCTCCTTCTCTCTGTAGTTCTCTTTATTGATTGATCTTTACTATAGGTATGGCTCCCTCTTGGAGGAACTCCTTTTCCTCCTTCTCTCTGTAGTTCTCTTTATTGATTGATCTTTACTATAGGCTTTTCAGGAATATACTCTGGTGTTACTTCTGTCTGGCTTCGGCCAATTGTGACTTTGATTCAGTGAAGGTCTATCAGAGAGAGACCTTACAACTTCTGGGACAGGACCTGGGTATTCCCCTATGAAGGGTAGTGATCTACAAATATGACTTTTGAGCTTCCACAGAAACTTGTTCCTGGCTTTACCCATAGCTCTCAGACAAGTTTAATTGTTCAAATATGCAATATCAAAGTTTTAGTGACTCTGAAATGGGCAGATACTGGCAAAATCTAAGACATATGTCCATAATCCCATGAAGCCCAATTTTGTGGGAGCTCAAAAGTTTGATTTACAGATCACTACCCTCTATAGGGGCATACCAAGGCCCTGTTGGGACCTTGGCCAAGTCTGAGGTGTTTCAGGTTGTGGGCACGGCACAAAAAGCACACCTGGAGAGCTCCTGATGGTGGGCGTGCCTAGGGCCAAGGCTCAAAACAAACCCCCAAAAAGGGTGTTGGAATGCCTTTTGAATTATCACAACAAACCTGAAAAATCCATCATCAAGACCAAATTTGAGTTGTTAAAACAGTGGAGAGGTTTCTTGTGACCTTATGCACTGGGAGAATTTGATACTGGAGGTTCTCCTGTAGAAAACACACTGATTGATCACTTTCTTTCTGGCATATATGCCTGATTTTGATACTTCAAGGTTTGGATATCAAAGTGATGCTGTGTTAGGATCACAAATGAACCACATCATGATCAATTACATGAATGTTTTTCTTGTATCAATGAAAAAAAATCATGGTGTCCAGCGATCCATTTGAAAAAAATGTGATGCCATGCCCACAAAAATTTGAGTGCACCCACAACCTGAGAGGTGTCTGATGTGGTATCTTTTTTTGATCACCTGACCCAACTGACATGTAATATTCTTCCACATATGCCTTTGATGAGGGAGCTGTACAATTTTTTTATCAAGATTATCAAAAATCATTGGGACAAAACCCTATGCTTCCTTCAGAAATGAATGTAAATGTGATTGCTGCATACAAATACACATATTGGTGAGCTAGGAGACTTAAACAGGTCTTAAGTTGTGTTTGGAACAAATTCATTTGATGATTGACTTGAAGTTGAAAACTTGTCCTAACTTAATAATCATTATGAAACACAACAGGTTCACTCAGTTACGTAATCTGATACAAATCCTTATACATCACCCAAGAAAGTTTCATAGATATTCCTGCATGATACACGTGTCATGAGATGTAATTAATTCTTAGAAACAATGAATGAGAAAGTGTAATGATCTTGGAATTCTAGATCAAAAGAACTCATGATCAAACTCAAATCCTTTCCCTTTATCCTCCACAAATCAACAGTACCTTCCACTATATCCCCCCCAAACCAAAAAGTGCATCAATAACAATGATCTATTTTCTCATTCAAGTTGCAGGGTTAATCCAGCTTCTTCTTTTCTTTACAATAGCTTCTCCATTTTCTCAACCCCTAAAAAGTCCAAGCTCAATGAGAATCCCAGGTGTAGGAGATGACTTCAAAGTTCAGAAATTCTGTGACACTGACCAAGGTTGTGGGACTTTTCCACATGCATACTCAAATTTGCATGATACCAAAGAAGATAACAATAAACAGCTTATTGACCTCAATGTTATTCCAGAATTAGATCAAGTTTACTTCGAATTTCATAATCACATAATCCCTGACCAATCATCTGGACCGTCAATTTCCTTGAGATCTTTTGATAAACAACTCACACCAATGACATCACAAAGTTCTGGTGAAAGAATGGGGTCATTGGTTGAATTGGACCACATAACTGAAAGTCCTCCTGTCCCTCAAGATCCCAGTAGTGAAGGAATAACACCTGAAACGATGGCACCCTTGTTTCAATATGATGATGGTGATAGAAAAAGACGCAAGTACACTAATTATTTGCCTTTGGGAGATGTCAAGGGGAAAAAACCAATCACAGAACCACTGGATGAAATTGCTCCTGGACTTCAAAATGAATCATTCAATTCACAAATTCCTGAATCTCAATATGTTGTACCACATCTCTTGATAGGTTTTCTCCAATGGCAATACAGCTTAGCCATCTGGAAAAAGGATGGTCTTTCTGAAGAGATCAAGGATGCTTTTGACTCCTTGAAACACTTAGCTAGCCTGGACATCCCAGATTCTGTCAATGAAAAGGCAATTTCAAGCAAAATAAATCTAGCTATCAACAAAATCAAAACTGATTTAGTCACAGGAGTCATTGGAGCTTTAAACATGATCTCTTGGCAAGGAGAAAAAGTTTCAACACCTATCAATGTGTTGATCCAAGATGCATGGGAATTTCTACACAAGTTCTTGAAGGAAGACATCACTTCTTTCAAAGAGCAATACCTCTGTCCTTCTACTAGGGGAATGAAAAAATGCCGCCGCCTCCCTTTTGGATCTGAGAATCTGCTGAGCTACACGATGTCTCTCAAAGATGATAACAAGATACCTCCACAGACCACCCATAGGATGTTACAAATATGGGCCAGTTCATCCATCTACAGGGATTCTATCCCTGAATCTTCTTTGAACTACTTGTCATTCATTCATAGTTGTGAGATGGTTTGCAAAATGAGGGGACAAGACACATTAATGGTTGAATCATTTAGGCAGAGAACTTTGTTGCATAAAGATAGTCCAAAGAATAAGGACACAAATATAGTGCCAACATTCATCTTTTTCAAATTCATCAAGAATCATGGGCAAGTGATAGTCGCAAAAAGACAGACTCAATCCAGAATTACTATTTCAAATTTCTTTGATGATTCCAATCAAATAATACAATCTATGTTTTTGCAAAAAGCAAAGAATGACCAATCCTTAACAGCTCTTCCTCAAGGAAAAGTTATGCTTAGTCAATCTCTTGTTCAAAAAGCATTCAAGAGAGCAAAGGAGGACATCACACCAGCATTCATGGGTATTTTATGGTTAATGCATCCAGGGCTTGAAGTGTACAAAAACTGGGATGAAATTTATGAGAGTGGATGGAAATTCTTGGAAGCGTATTTCTCTAGATGGACAAGCTATTTAGCAAAAAGCAATGATCCTATCACCCTAACCCCAATTGAAGGGAAAACAATTGCAGAAGATTGCTCTGACTTCAAAGGAATAATGCAGTACCTAGGAAATTTAGGTAGCACACGCTACATACCTATGACACTGATTTGGCATCTTGCAGATTTGTGGTATGAAGAGAAAATCATTCTCAAGAAAAGTGAAATTATTTATTCAAGGTTTGATAAATTGAAACCAGACCGTACTGCAATCAAAATGAAATGTTTGAAGTTATCTGAAGGCTCTTTCAATGCAAAGGGGCCAAGGAAATCATCAGAAATGTGATCATATCCAACTTCTAATTTTGCCCAATTTCAATGTTCAATAAGCAGAAGAAGACTCAATGCAGAGTTAAAGCTTCAGAACACGAATGAATGTTCACTCCATCTTGTATACATGGCTCAAGCTGATTTCTCAATTTCTTGAACCAAAATATGGATTTTACTTCAGAGATACAAAAAAAGACTCAGGATAGTTGAATTGAGATTTTTTGGTTTGATCAAGTTTGTTTGGTTTCTAGGTATTTGCAATTTTGAGAGAATAATAAAGTAATTCACTTATTGATTACTTATATGTTGTTTATCTGTGCAGCCATTGACCACTTCTGATCAATGAATGTCCAAAATTTCAGGGTTTTCTTGTTGAGCATGAGAAACTTTGGTGAAAATTGGGAGTGTTAACATTTCCACATCAATTGATCACTTCGGGTAGCTTAGGGTGTATATAAATTGAGTTTCCATTGACGTATGTGAATGAAGAGATATGTGATCATTGCCAGTTTGTAAAAATATGGTTTCTGTGGGCAATCCTTACTTTGATCAGAAACCAAATTGGTTTGTAACTACAGTCAAACAGAGTCAGATTGTAGCATGTGTCCCATTACCCATAGGAGCCTTGCTGGGGCACTGTACAGGTCCCCACACCTAGGAAATGTAATCATTGGGTTTGAGACAAACCCTGGCCCTGCCAATGCAGAACTTCAATGATTACGTAAATCACTTGGAGGGGACTGTACATGACAAGTGGTCAATGCTTATCTCAATACAACCTCTTTAGATTCATTTTCACCTGAAAATGTTGAATTGCCTGTAATTTGTATCAAGATCTCCATGTAAATTTACAACACTTTATACTATTGAATTTTTCTGGATTTACCCATCTTCTCATGTATTGAACAATCATGCACTCATTTAAGTCACAGATCTACCTCCAACATGAGGAGATATAACAGCATTGTTGATAGCTTATGCAGCTGCTGATAAGTGTCTACTTTTGTTTTGCTTCTCAAAGAATCCAATTTTAGAGCGCAGCACCCACTGTTCAAACAAGCTAGTGATGAATCAAAAGCAAAATAAATAGAACTCTCAAAAAGGCTTTGAATGAATGACTATTGATCTTTTTTTAACTTTTTTGAATTATGAATCAAAGTGTGAAATAACTAGAACTCTAAAAAATGACCAGGTGGAATGAAAATCTAGTAAATTGTGTGTATGAGAAAGTAAAATGTGAAATGGACTGTTTGGAATTAATCAAGCAAGGGAAAAAAACATCAAGCCAAATGAATAATTATTAATCTTTTATTTAAGCTTTTGTGTGATGATTGGAAATGTGAAACAAGTCTGATTTTTTTGATAAGTTCTTGATGTTTTCTTGAATACTATCATATTGTCTTCTGGGGGAACATCTGAAATGTTGATTTGACATTATGAATATATCATATCTTACTACACTGTATTTTTCATTGTTTCTTCATTGTTACCAACACACAGGCTCACTGTTTTTCCAGTCCATTCTTTTGTTCTTGTGTAACCTTCAACACATATGTCACTGCTTTGAACGGGTGGCAAAGTCACCACATTGAAGCATGTTAATTACCTTGGATATATATTGGTTCAATGAGAACAGCCTAATATGGGGATTTGATTGTGAGTGAAAGGTGGTGAAGTCACCACACACTCAATTTGTCAGCATATGGCAACCTAGAAGTCATTCCATTCCTATCTGTAGCAGGCATAAATTTAAAATTCTCTCAGGATCTTCAACGAGGGATGGTATCATCAACTGAACATGATTGCCAAAATCATGGGAGAATGTACAAGACTGTCACAAGCCACTTGTGTATGTCAACCAGCAGTTTATGTCTGTCAGAGTGGTTTGTTGCTGGGAAGGTTTTTCATCTGGTTACCTGTTTCACTATTTGGTGGCTGAAAGGCTACTGGGACAAGATGGCATATTTCATAAACTCAGGTGGTTATTAAGCCTGCTTTGTAGATTGTATCTCAGTCAGATTTGAGCCTTGAAGCACAGATTTATGGAGCAGGTCTTTTGAACAACCCAAATGGGCCAAAGTCAAATTGACTTGTGTGAAAGTGTAGCCTTAGGTCTACAGATTGGTGCATGTAGCCAAAAGTGTAATTTTTAAATATATCAAGGCCCAGGCTTGCAGGGCGGCTTGTTATTCCATGTAACCTCCAATTTTCTGGGAAAAAGACAAAAAACCATCTCCAGTGTGAACATCATTCAACTTCCCTACATTGGAAGAGGAAAATGATTAATAGTACAGTTTGTCATAAAAGGATCCAATACTGCTCACCTGAGCCATAACACCCATACTAAATATGTACAGCAAGCTAAGTAAATAGTTGGCTATCATGTACATACAGGTCTACTCAGTTTTGTGCCCATCAGAATAAATAAATCACATGTTATACCACATGGAACTTTTTTGACTTGGAAAAAATAGTCCCAAAAGTTCACTACATATAATTCTGTAGCTGCTTGGGCAATATTGTTGAAGATATTTCTTAGTAACAGAAAGGGTGTTACATGCAGTTGAGTTGATGAGATTACACTGAAACATTGAATCAGTGTATGTAGTCTATCTTTTGAATGCTTTTGTCAATCTGAAAAAAGCTACAGCATGTATTACATATGAATAACTTATCCTGATGAGAAGACAACTGAACAGAACTGTATGTACATGATAACCACCTATTCACTGAGCCTGCTACACATATGTAGTGTGGGTTTTATGGCTCAGGTGTGGAGTGGTAGATCATTTTATGACAAATGATACTCCCAATCATTTTTTCCTGCTCACTTGGGGAAGTTGAATAATGTTTACAATGCTCCTCTATGTTGTTGCATTGACCACAACTCGGCCTTGCTCATCCTCTCTGACCAATCTGAATATCCACCTTCTCAAACCAATTTTGATTGATGCTTGGCATGCTTTTATACTAGGTATATAATGGCCCATTGAGATGCTTTCCTTTCTTCTCTTTTAGTCCATCTATTTCTTACTTGATGTACCTTGTTTTCACCACTGCCAGGATTGAACACTGTCCCTAACGGAATAATGATCACTTTTGCATTAATTGCTAAGCATTTATATGGCAAAAATTAATTATCCCAAAAAAGCAACACATTATCCCAATTAGGACAGTGTTTAATCCTGGCAGTGCACACTGTCATTTCCTTCCCTATCAGACAGTTCAATCTTGACTTGACCAATTAAATTCGTTATTTTTCTTGATTTTAATTGTCTCACATAATAAAGTGAGTTGTTTCTCATGGTTTATCTTCCATCATTTGAATTGGAGTAATGACTCTCTCTCCAACCTCCCAAAGTCTCATGGAATTCAATCTCAGCCTTCCATTTTGTGTTTTGGATGTGGATCATTTCTATTTTGATTTTTCAGCTTGTTGAGATCTCTATTTGTTTATTCATTTCTCTTGTTTTTTCTTTCCATTCTCAAGCTGGCTGATTTGAATTTGCTTCAATTTGCTTTGTACCTTTGTTAACTTGTACTTGACTGTCACACTTGTTGTGGTAATATGATGATGGAGATGCCTTGATGATTTAATAGAAATGTGGATTCATAAAAACTTACGATAACTTAGTATGAAACATACTAAAAATCAAATAGCACAGTGTTTGGACAAAACCCATGGCTAGAAGCCAGGGTGATAATATTACTTGATAATAGAAAAAACCCCTCTCCGACCCGCCTACCAAACCGTACACCAGAGTGGTGAAGTAGGAGAGGGAAGTGATTAAAGATAAACAAAACAAGTTTGTCAGCAGTGTAAAAATTTTTCACGTCCAAACTTCTTTTTTCTTTGTCCAACCAGGCGAAAAAGCCATAGACCCCACTTCAGGCTAAAAAGCCATTGACCAACATATAAAGGCACAATGCCATTGACCGAGAAACCAAAAAAGGCAGCAGCCATTGACTCGGTTCTCTAAGGTATAACAATACCATTGACCAATACTATCAACAACAAAAAACTCACTACTAAAATGACACTCTCGAACCGACGTGAGCCACGTGCCCGATCACATGATTCTGATTTTCTGGTAATCGTAAGGCTACATGGCCCCGCACATAAATCAAAAACGCCTCCGATGACCAGCGTCCAGCACTTTTGATTGCATCCATTTTAGAACCAGCTTGAGCCATGGCCGTCGCTCCCCCTGAGCGTAAAGAATGGCCGGAAAAAGTTTTGTCGAAGTGAAGGTAAAAATTTTTGAGAAACCAGGAACGAGTCGGGTGAGAACCTGAAGAAGTTAAGAAGAGCTCGTTTGAAGAAATGAAGTTCGAGTCTCTCTGTCGGAGATAAGATTTCATGAGACGGATAGGACAAGCAGATGAATCATAAAATTCCTGAATAACCACTGAGGCACCCAAAAACTTCCGATCCCCTTCAGAATACGGTAGATGATATTGGATGAATTTCTTGCATGTTGAGAATCGAAAAGATGAACGTAAGATGATTTTTCTTGCATCGAAAAGTTTTTTAGAATCAGGGATAGTCAGCTCCCCCAGACGATGAAGCCCTCCAAATTCCACACTCAACATTGCCACGAAAAGTTTGTTGTCGTATGAAGATGAAGATTTTGACACCACTGAAACTAATTGATCTAAAGTGAGAGGATTTTTTCTAACTACCGGCTTGGAATAATTTTGAAGACAATGTTTCATCGTTTTCTTGACATCTTGATGGTCGGTTTGACATATGATTAAAGGAAACTCGAGATAAAAAATGTGCTTTATACCAGTTAAATACGCACGAACAGAACGAGGCGATATCATTTGACTAAGACAAGAGATAAAATCACATAAGTTTTGTTTATTTGGGTTAAGATCTTTTTTGAAGTGAGCACAGAATTTTGCGAAACATTTAAAACCAGACTTGTACTTAGAAAGAGATGAATCTTGGACTGAATTACGACAATCCTCGTTTGATATTTTCTGTAATTCTTCTATGCTAATGCTCAGGAA